TAATAATAATAATAATAATAATAATAATAATAATAATAATAATAATAATAAATAAATATAAATATTCTATGTTTTTAAATTTTAGTGGGAAATATTCTTAGGACGTCAGTAACTTGTAACACTGGTTGCATAGATTCTGATACTAATACGTTTATGATATTACAGATATTCTATTTTTTTATATAATCGGAAATTGCAACATTAATATTAGAATAATATGCAACAGATAACAATATAATAATTTTTTTAAGGGTCATTTTTCTTCAAAAGAGGACTTTTTTTAAGTCTGTTGGGGACAAACCATAGTAGGTCGTCTGGCAACACTGGGTGGAACCAGTGTCAGATCAATATAGAATGAGACTATCCAAACGTAAAGTGATTTTTCTTTCACTGAGATAACGTCCTGCATAACCAGCAGACGAAAAGCTCCATGTCGTTATGGAGAAACATTTCAGCAGGTATTTTGCATAAACATGTGGATTAGTTTCATCAGTAGCTTTTCACTTGGTCCTATTACCAAATTGTCTGGATGGTAACGGTTGTTCAGATTTTTGCAAAATACTCTTCTGAAATTGTTTGACATTTAATTTACGTAATCACATGTATTTTATATGCACGACGAAGCACCATCGCACTTCACTCGCAATATCAGAGAACATTCAACGAAAAAAGTTTTTGAAATATGTACGGTATTGGCTTTTTTTATTTTTTTACTTATGAAAGGTCAATTACAGCCACAATATTTTGAACAAAACATTTTTAATTTATAACGAGGAATTTTTCAAAATATTGTAAATTTTCACAATGTATTTGTTTTTTAATTTGTACCATTAATTATAACCGGCCATGATTTAGTACGATAGTTTTTGGTTATATTTTATCAAAAAAGTGGTTGCCGTACAGGAATTAATGATCTTATGATCTTACTCAATTCCAAAATACAAGTAATTGTTTATAAACTTTTGAATTAACCATAATTTTCAGACGGCATAGTTGTTAAGAATTATTTGGAGAGATAAAGAATCGTAGAATCGAAGTCGTACATTTTTCAATTACTTGAAACAATGGAAGCTAAACTAATGGGTTGCGCCCTGTATTTCTAACCCCTGTATCAGCAGATAGGTACGGCGTCACTAAAAAAGTTATCTACGTATCAATCCGAAACTTGCAGTATAAATGTCGTGCTGTAGTAAATCACCAAAAACCGGGCCAAAATTTTCAGAAAATCAAAAATTTTTCTGGCTTCTGGTATGGCTATTAATGTTTTGCCGAACCCCCCCTTAGTGGACAGGTTTAGCTTACCTGTGTACTCACCTGTACCAATAAGAATTGACGGCATGGTTTCTAAAGTTATTGTTATATGTGGTAGTATTGATTTATAAGTAATTCATGCTGGGTCAAATGACCCGTTGAAAATTTCCGATGGGCTTGTAGTTTAATACTTCGTATAAATTATTTGGAAAAGAATACAGCTTCAGGTATTGATGTAGTTAGTGTTGAACTTATAAAATCATGTTGCTTACAAGTTACAGATCAATTAGTTTAATAAATAATTTTGGAAAAATCTTTGAGAATTAATTGTCTTAAATGTAGACTTGTCAGTTTTTAAAAAATCAATATTTTGAGTCCGCAACAGCTTGGTTTTCAAGAGGGTAAAAGTACTAGTGATGCTATGAATGAAGTGATTAAAGAAATTACAATCTGGATTCTAGTAAAAAATGTGCTGCAGCTAAGGTATTTGTGTGTTGCAAAATTATGGAATCGGAGGAATTATTGTGCTTGAGCATTTTACTAGTTATTTGACTGGACGAATGCAATTTGTTAAAATCAATGAATGTTTAAGTGATCCGCAAGAAGTGAAAACGGGTGTGCCACAGGGAACAGTGCTTGGTCCCATATTTTTTATGCTCTATATCATTTCTTTATTAACCTTAAATATTGATGGTAAAATAATATCATACGCTGACGATACAGGAGTTATCTTTAGTGGCAAAACTTGGCGGAACGTTTGAGATCAAATGAGGCAGGGTATAACTGCTGTCAAAATTTGGTTAGAAGGCCATCAGTTATCACTAAATATTGGTAAAACCAATTATATAGTATTCCCGATTACTAATGTAAATAGACCTGATTTTGATATGATTAATATCGACGGTTTTAACATGAAAATAAAAGAAGTAAGTTTTATAAAGTATTTCGGTATTAAGAAATATTTTAACCAAAAAATCTTTATAATTTATAAATCCTTAGTGGAATCGCATTTTTGTTATGGTATACTTGCATGGGGTGGTTTATATACTACGGCTTTAAAACAATTATCTGTTGTGCAAAATTATATCTTAAAAATTATTCTAAAAAGTAAATTGTATCGGACAAGATTACTTTATACTGATGGAATCTGTGACGGATCATTATATTTTCATTCTTTATGTAAATTTGTATTTAAAAAAGAGAAACAATGTGTATCAAATACTGTGGTAACACGCAGCATGACAAATGAAGTAGTACAAACGCCGTTTTGCTATAAAACCACAGGTTTAAGATTTGCATTACATCTCGCTCCAAAACTATAGAATATGTTGCCTTTAGAATTAAGAATTTTAAAAAGTTTTCCCTCCTTTGCAAAAGCTATATATAAGTAACAGTTATTTCCTATTTTGGGACACTCAGGTGTGTTTCTTTCTTTTCCTTTATCTTCTTTTATATTGTAATTTCTGTGAAATGTAATAATGTTAATGAATGAATGAATAATGAATAATTTAATGTTGGTTTTAATTTAAGTAAGTTAATTTAAATAATATCATGAGTGACGTCATTGTATCAATATTAAGTGTATTAACAGGGTTCGTAGTTCAAAAGTAATATAGAATTCCCCGACTTAAAAAATCCAGGTCACTTGTAGTTCATTTTTACATACTATTTGGTGTTATGCATTAAACTTTTTCTGGACTGGACTCCCATATTTTTTTTAAACCCAAAATATCTCTTATAGAGTTTTCAAAACCACAAATAAATTTCTCTTTCAAGAACCCAGGGCCGGCTTTCACAAAATTTCCAGTTGCAAGTATCAAATTCCCTCATTTTCATGAATACTTTTAAAATTCTCTGATTATTCCCTGTTTTTTATGAAGAATAATGAATTCCCTGACTTTTCCCGGTATTCCCGGTTTTCCAGGCCACTACTAACCCAGATTAAGTGTATATTGCAATAAAAGTAAATAAATGTTCATTGTTGTGCTTCAACATGTGATATTTAAAATTGCTCCTTTCGTAATCGCAGTCATTACTCTTGAAATATCTTAATTATGCTTCATCTGGTGCTGTTTCATATTTCTCTTGTATTTACTTTTGAAATCGCAGTCATTACATTTGTACATTTCAACCTGGGAAGGATCTTTATGTATCAGTTGATGTTTTTTGATACAACCCTTGTATCTACTTTCGTAATCGCAGTCGTTACATTTGTACATTTGAACCTGTGTAAGATCTTTATGTTTTAGTTGGTGTCGCTTGATATCACCCTTATATTTAGTTTCATAATCGCAGTCGTTACACCTGTACATTTGAACCTGTGCAGGATCTTTATGTTTCACTTGGTGCTGTTTGATATAAGCCTTGTATACAGTTTCGTAATCGCAGTCATTACACCTGTACATTTGAACCTTTGAAGGATCTTTGTGTTTCAGTTGGTGCAGTTTGATATAATACTTGCGTTTAGTTTCGTAATCGCAATCATTACACCTGTATATTTGAACCTTCGAAGGGTCTCTATGCCTCACCAGGTGCCTTTGAAGTAATTTCTTATTTTCAGTTTCATATTCACATGATTCACATTTATACGCTTCCAAATCTTTCTCGTGTCTCGTACAGTGTGCCGTAAAACGGATCTTACTTCCAGTTTCGTAAATACATTTATCACATTTGTACAGTACTTTGTGCTTCTGCTTGGTTTTCATTTCTGATCCATTCTCGTGTTTACATCCATTCTCTTCTGCATCTTTACAGTCGCTTTCCTCGAATGGTCCAATATCGGAGCTCTGCAGTGGCATATCGCTAAAAAAATTGCAAATAGAGTATTTTTGAATATCAGGCTTTAATTTTAAGTGATTATAGGTGACACATGCCACAATATTGCGTTTCACAATATAAAAAAAAATTAATAAAAGATGCTAAATTTATCCTTTAATTGATTTTTGCAAAAGTGGCAAATCGTTACACGCTTAGAATATTGGAGAATTATCTTAATTGGTACTCGAAAAAAAGAAGCTGAACCAGATTGCCTTTTTATTTTATGTTGGTGGACAGTCGGTAAGGAGGTGTAAGTAAGGAACTCTAGAAGGAAAGACGACCCTCGAATCTTCAGGAGTAAGCATAGGGGAACATTGGTAGGAAAGTCCGATGCCAAGGAGAAACGAACTTACTTTGTACTGGGGAATGCCGATCAACACTACAGTCGTACAGTCTTATCGTACTTGGCTTTTTTTACAGTCGATTGATTAAGTAAACAAACTGTTCGCAGGATATTACTATTTAAACGCACATTAACTACAAAATCAGGTTTTCACATTTTAATCACAGAGAAAGTTAATCGTTTATCGGAGATTAGCGCCTGACTAAATTAATTAAGTTCGTTAACAATGAATTATTATAATTCAATGACCGTAATTTTATCTCACGATTATTGTCAAGGTTACAACAAACTTGCTAAAATATTTAGCTGCAAGGCACTTTGCTGCAAATTTCGTGCAAACCCGCCATAAAAACTTTTATGATTTTACAGATTCATTCGTAAATTGACGGAAATGTTGCAGCAAATTTATTTTGTTTAGTTGGTACATATTTACACTTTTCAATTTTAAAACTAAAATTCCACGTTTGATAATACATATCTTACATTTGTTTTTGCCCCTGCAAAATATTCGGCTATTTTAGTGTTTCTACACTAAATAAATTTTGAGTTGGCAATGAGCACATAAAAATTGCAGCTTTCTTTGTTCCACGTGTCTGACGTCTCAATTGCGAAGTATATTTCTTCAGATATGTGTCTACTAAGCATTAAAAGCGCAGTAAAAAGTAGATTAATGACCGAATAATACGGTAGGCCAAGAATCACTCTCGATAAACCTTTGTGGGTCAGCAGTCAGGAGCAGTTTTGACTGATCACCCTGTATATGATCGATAAACTGCATAGCTGATCTCTCAACTCATAAATGCCACAGTAATGTGAGCAGTTCTGAACGGCTTTAAGTAAAACAAAATAATGCATATCTGTTTTGCATTAGACTTTTCCGTTACAAATTTTTGTAAAAAAAATTAATTATTACATGTTGTACATAGTAAATTGCATCACTATTTGAAACATACATGTTAAGATTCACAATGAATATTGGTTAATAAAAAACTACATTTCTAAGCAAAGACAGAGCAGGCGTATTCAGTTCATAACTAGACATAAATGAGGATCGGGTGCTATGAAAAAATGTAGTCAGTTTCGTATTATTGAGATTATGTTTGCGAAATCAAGTTCTGTGAATTATTCTCGAATTATTTTTCGATTTGTTTTTGTTTTTGCAGTAGAACCTCGATTGTCCGGGCCAGCCGGGACCGAATCGTTGCTGGATAATCGAAAACACGGTTAATCGAAATAAATAATATACACGTGCGCCGTTGCCAAGTTTCTGTTGCAACTTTTGGCATCTATTTATACATATTCGGAAAAAAATAATAATTGAGAAATGGAAATATATAATTTTACTCAATATGTACTGACAGTAATGATTTTATAACACGGTAAGTATAGACCTTAATAATTTCCACAAAAGCTAGTCTAAAATCACTTGTCCTCTGTTTCGGTCAGGTTTTTATGTTTTAACCAATGTTTTTCACGGCAGGCAATTGTGATCGGTGTTGTATCCACACTTGTTACTCTTAGTCCAGCCGGTATCTGTTTCAAAGAGTCCTTATTTGGGTGAATCGTATATCCACGGAGATTTTTGGCTTTTGGCTTTCAAATATCAATAGAAATAAAAATTTTTATGCGCATAAAAAAAAAGTGGGCTTAACTTTTGGCGGCACAACATGTTAAAAAAAATTAGAAAAATGTCATATTTTTCTTCTATTTAATTATGTATCTTCTCAAGAGTTGATTTTAGGCGAAAATGGAAGAGGAAAAAAATGTTCGTAATTAAATTTTACAAAATATGACTAGATACAAATCGAATGAATCATGATTATTATTGTAAAAATCGAAAAAATCGCCAGAAATGGGGTTAAAAACATTACTTATTAGGGAATTTTTTGGGATCTTTAAACTGGGTATAGGACCTTCATACTTGGCTCAAGAAAACTTCATGTTATGTAGAATCATCACATCAAATTTCATCAAAATCGGTTCTATAGATTTTGCATAATAATTTTGCAATCCAGATTTTGAAAAAATATTTGCAAATTTTCAAAATTCTGCACAGCAAAAACCAAGGCCCTTAGATACTTATTTATTGTTTAAAATATAAGCAAATGAGAAATTAACTCATTATATTACAAAAATACAAAATTATAGTACAAAAATTCGATCAATGTTATAACAAGCGCCAGAGCTCTCCTAATTGACGGATTCGAATTTTTCAAAAAGCGTTTGGAAGCTTGAGAGCCCTTCTATATGCGATTCAATTTTCAAGTATCTAAGGGCCTTGGTTTTTGCTGTGCAAAATTTTGAAAATTTGCAATTTTTTTTAAATCTTGATTGCATAATTATTATGCAAAATCTATCAAACCGATTTTGATGAAATTTGGTGTGATGATTCTACATAACATGAACTTTTCTTGAGCCAAGTATGAAGGTCCTATACCCAATTTAAAAACCCCAACAAAATTCCATAAGAAGTAATGTTTTTTAACCCCATTTTTGGCGATTTTTTCGATTTTTACAATAATAATCATGATTAATTCGATTTGTATCTAGTCATGTTTTGTAAAATTTAATTACAAACATTTTATTCCCCTTCCATTTTCGCCTAAAATCAACTCTTGAAGAGATACATAATTAAATAGGAAGAAAGTATGACATTTTTCATACAACATATTGTGCCGCCAAAAATTAAGCCCACGTTTTTTTTTATGCACATAGAAAATGTTTCATTTCTAGTGATATTTTAAAGCCAATAAGTCAAAAATCTCCGTGGATATACGATTCACCCAAACCAAAACAGATATCGCCTAGTCTATCTCAAATGCCTTCAATTTTGTCTATATTTTGTATGGTGAAGAAAGAGCGGCAATTTACACCTGCAAAAGTTTTTTGTGCATCAACTGAGGTCTCCACAAAGACTCCTTAGGCTGGGTTGTTGGCAAAGCACACCGATACATTTACATTTAAGAAGGCGCCGTATGCTTCGATATGTGATACTTAATAGCACTCCCATTTTCAGTTTCGCAACTGCAGTTGCACTTGAAAGTACAGTTGGTTGCTGATAGCATCTCGGTAACTCCTGCATTTAGTTTCGTAACTACAGTCTTTACGTTTGAACTTGCGAAAGACGTTTATGTTTCAGTTGATCTCGTTTGATATTACTCCCACATTTAGTTTCGTAATCGCACTCCTTACAACTGTACATTTGAACCTGTGAAGGATCCTTATGTTTCAGTTGGTGGGATTGTATAGCTCTTCTGTATTTAGTTTCGTAATCGCAGTCCTTACACTTGTACATCTGAACTTGAGAAGGATCTTTATGTTTCAGTGTGTGACTTTTGATATTATTTTTGTATTTAGTTACGAAATCGCAGTCGTTACACCTGTACATTTGGGCCTGTGAAGGATCTTTATGTTTCAGTTGGTGGGATTGTATAGCTCTTCTGTATTTAGTTTCGTAATCGCAGTCCTTACACCCGTACATTTGAACTTGAGAAGAATCTTTATGTTTCAGTGTGTGACTTTTGATATTAGTTTTGTATCTAGTTTCAAATTCGCAGTCTTTACACTTATACAAATGAACTTGAGAAGGATTTTTATGTTTCGGTTTGTGATTTTTGATATTACCTTTGTATCTAGTTTCAAAATCGCAGTCTTTACACTTACACATATGAACTTGAGAAGAGAGAAGATTTTTATGTTTCAGTTTGTGATTTTTGAGATTACATTTGTATTTACTTTCGTAGTCGCAGTCGTTACACCTGTACATTTGAACTTGTGAAGGATCTTTATGTTTCAGCTGATGTTGTTTAATATGATTCTTTAATTTAGTTTCGTAACTACATTCGTTACACCTGTACATTTGAACCTGCGAAGGATCTTTATGTTTCAGTTGGTGGTATTGGATAACATAACTGTATTTAGTTTCAAATTCGCAGTCGTTACATTTGTACATTTTCACCTGCAAGGGCTCTTTATGTTTCAGTTGATGCCGTTTCATATAATTGCTGTACTTAGTTTCATAATTGCAGTCGTTACACCTGTACATTTGAACCTTCGAAGGGTCTTTATGCCTCACCAGGTGTCTCCGAAGTAATTTCTTATTTTCAGTTTCATACTCACACGATTCACATTTATACGCTTCCAAACCATTCTCATGTCTCGCACAGTGTGCCGTAAAACGGATCTTACGTTCAGTTTCGTAAATACATTTATCACATTTGTACAATACTTTGTGCTTCTGCTTGGTTTTCACTTCTGATCCACTCTCACGTTTACATCCATCGTCTACTCCATCTTTACACTCGTTTTCCTCGAATGGTATAATATCTGAGGTCTGCAATGGCGTGTCGCTGAAAAAATTGCATATACAGGGTACTTTTAAAAATCAGGTTTTAATCTTAAGGGGTCAGATGACACATGCCAAAATATTGCGTTTCACAAAAAATGAATCTACTTAATAAACAGACACATTTACATTTGAAGTTAATGAGATGTATGACTGTGACTCTGCAACTATTATTTTACATTTGATCTGAAATAACTCAGGGCTTGCTGTCACTCTTAAACTTGATCGAATTATGTGTTATTAAAAAGGATAGTAACTTCCACAAGGCATTATTTAATTTTTATTATAGTGAAATAATTTTCTACTGTTCAAATAGTGCAATAAAAAACTATAAAGTTGGTGTAACGTTAAAATTTTAATCTTGGTATAATTTTGAACAATTATAGAGTAAACCGCTCAAAAATCAAACAACTTCTAGTAGTATACAACCAAATATACATAAAATTCACATTTCTTTCCTAAAGAGATATTTAAATAAATTTGAGTAGGTAGTTTTATTATGTTAAATGTTAATCAGTATATTATTATTATTATTATTTAAAGTTAAGCAGTTAAAATTAAATAACGCTATTTGTTAAAAATTATGGGATCTTTTGTTATTTCTGTTAAGAAGCAATTTTCGACGATATTAACATTTTACAGTGTTCCTTTGGGATATATTACAAAATTGCATTATAACTGTGACCGTATTGTTTGGAAACGGTGCTAACGGCTCATAGTTTCGCCTGCATTGCCGGATTTAAAGACATCTGCTCACATTTTCAACACCTAGATAAATTATACAAGCTATTATATGTATATTGCTCACTACCAAGCCACCCTCCGACAACGTAAGTCATTATTTGTTGTTTTCCGCGATCGACTAGACCTTAACGTGGTGTAAATCTCGATTTTAGCGCTTTTTAGTACATGGTGCATATTCTGGTACATTGTGCATCCTTTCTACCGGTCATATCTACACCCAATAGTTGCGGCAGAAAGGTGAATACTTGCCGACTGGCTTACAAATCGTACGACTCGGAAATTGTGGAAAATTGGGAGCTGTTGCAGTATACCGGCTGTCCCATCAAACTGCTCCGCCATTTGGCTGTACCCCTACGTTGAAAATCCACAGATAAGCTGTAGTTTTAGTTATCTTTTTTCCTTTAATTATATTGGATTTATTATCCCTACTTTTCTGAATCTGTATATAAATACGTTTTATTATTGATTTGATGAGTGATAATTCATACCAATGAAGGCAATTATCGTAATTATGTCTTGATACACGTCTATTATCGTTTTTTTTTATACATATATATGTGCGTATGAATTTTGTCTTGTATGTTTTTTTTACAACTGTTTTTTTATAAGTAAATTCCAAAAATTATTATCACCTATTTATAATATTTTTAATATATCTTTTTATTGTGCGTGATCAAGAGCGGTTGAGTTTATACTTATAAATTATTGTCATCTTTACACAAGTATATTTGTCGTTTCTATAATTTTCATTGTTGAAACTAAGATCCAATTCTGATGCTACAAACGTGTTATTAAATTTATATTTTTGAATATTTGAATATTCTTATCGTTTTCTGATAAAAAAAAATATTCAATGCAGGAAACTCGATTCAAAGAAAGGTATTAAACTCCGTATTTATGGATTTTTGCTAAACTTGAGATTGATACGAAAGATATAATTTTTTTGGAAAAAAAATGTATTTTCGAACATCGCTTTGCTACGCAATTATTGCCAAATAAAATTGTAAAAAGTTGTATTTCCTTCCTCCAATCTCGACTACTTACTAACTTCTCTAGCACAACAGTTTTTTTTATAAACTAACCCAAAAATACTTTCTCTACATTCCAAAATATACATTTTTTGGCGATTGTGTAGCATTGTGAATATTAATTTTTTTTATTCGTTGAAAAAAAATTTTAATTTTTGCAAAAGAAAGATTTTCAATATGAAGAAATGAATAAAAGACGCAAAATTTATCGTTTGATTTTTATCAAAATTGGTAATTTCAATCATTCGGATCGCAATAAAATATTCCAAAATATCCTGTCTTTTCATCATTTATAAACTTAAATCAAGTTTAGCGAAAATCCCTAAATATGCAATGTTTTACATTTTTTTTTAAATCAAGTTTCTGGCATTAAAAATAAATTTTTTGTCGAAAAACGATAAGAAAGTATTTTCAAAATACTACTGTATCATAAAAATTGAAACAAAGTTGCATTCATTTTAATTAAATGATTTTACTGTGTAAGGTCCTCTTTGCTAGAAGATGTCATATCAATGCTTTGTAATCATCCGATAAATACAAAACAGTGTTTAAAAAAAAAGTAAAAACTAGGTTCATGACCGAATAATACGGTAGGTCAAGATTCACTCTCGATAAACCTTTGTGGGTCAGCAGCCAGGAGCAGTTTTGACTGATCACCCTGTATATGATCGACAAACTGCATAGCTGATCTGTCAACCCATAAATGCCACAGTAATGTGAGCAGTTCTGAACGGCTTTAAGTAAAACAAAATAATGCATATCTGTTTTGCATTAGACTTTTCCGTTACAAATTTTTGTAAAAAAAATTAATTATTACATGTTGTACATAGTAAATTGTATCGTACATAGTAAATTGTATCACTATTTGAAACATACATGTTAAGATTCACTATGAATATTGGTTAATAAAAAACTACATTTCTAAGCATAGACAGAGCAGATGTATTCAGTTCATAACTAGACATAAAGGAGGATCGGGTGCTATGAAAATATGCAGTCAAATTCGTATTATTGAGGTACATATATTATGTTTGCGAAATCGAATTTTGTGAATTATTTTTCGATTTGTTTTTGTTTTTGTAGAAGAACCTCGATTGTCCTGGCCAGCCGGGACCGAATCGTTGCTGGATAATCGAAAACACGGTTAATCGAAATAAATAATATACTCGTGTGCCGTTGCCAAGTTTCTGTTGCAACTTTTGGCATCTATTTACACATATTCGGAAAAAATAATAATTGAGAAATGGAAATATATAATTTTACTCAATTTCTACAAACAAGTCAATCTAATTACTTTCTAGTCATAAAGAAAATTTTTCTTTGCACTGTCAGCAATGATTTTATAACACGGTGAGTATAGTCCTTAATAATTTCCACAAATGCTAGTCTAAAATCACTTGTCTTGTTTCGGTCAGATTTTTATGTTTTAACCAATGTTTTTCATGGCAGACAATTGTGATCGGTGTTGTATCCACACTTGTTACTCTTAGTCCAGACGGTATCTGTTTCAAAGAGTCCTTATTTAGGCGAATCGTATATCCAAGGAGATTTTTGGCTTTTTGGCTTTAAAATATCACTAGAAATTAAAATTTTTCTATGCGCATAAAAAAAACGTAGGCTTAAATTTTGGCGGCACAATATGTTAAAAAAATTCGAAAAATGTCATTTTTTTCCTATTTAATTATGTATCTTCTTAAGAGTTGATTTTTGGCGAAAATGGAAGAGGAAAAAAATGTTTGTGATTAAATTTTACAAAATATGACTAGTTACAAATCAAATGAATCGTGATTATTATTGTAAAAATCGAAAAAAATCGACAAAAATGGGGTTAAAAAATATTACTTTTTAAGGAATTTTTTGGGATATTTAAATTGGGTATATGACCTTCATACCTGGCTCAAGAAAAGTTCAAATTATGTAGAATCATCACACCCAATTTCATCGGTTCTATACATTTTGCATAATAATTTTGCAATCCAGATTTTGAAAAAATATTCGCAAATTTTCAAAATTTTGCACAGCAAAAACCAAGGCCCTTAGATACTTGAAAATTGAATCATACATAGAAGGGATCTCAAGCTATCAAACGCTTTTTTAAAAATTCCGATCCGTCAATTAGGAGAGCTCTGGCGTTTGTTTAAACATTCGTCGAATTTTTGTACTATAATTTTGTATTTTTGTAATATAATGAGTTAATTTCTCATTTGCTTATATTTTAAACAATAAATAATATTTGGATGTATACTTTAATCACAAAAGAAATGATGATTAAATTAATAATTAATTAATTACTAATTTTTGACATATTTTGAAAATATTTGTTGTTTAATCTTGATCTTTTATAAACAGTATATAAGTTTATGCACTTACCTTTGATACAATAAAAAAATAAAGTTGATAATTAAAGGAAGTTTACAAGTAAATAATTATCGGACTGTTGGAAAACCAATAATTATTATTAACGATAGGCATTTGAAAATACGATAATTGTTTTTTTTAAATCGCGAGACATCGATTTAAAAAAAAATCCTCTAGAAGCCGAGATATTAAAAATTTTTAAGCACGTCGCGGTTTTGAACTCATTCAAAATTCAAGCAGATTCATTTTCGAGCAGGCCGAAGCGCCACCACCACCACCTGTACAATGTTCTTAAATTTCTCGCTTGCATAAATAATTTTAAACACGTTTTAAAGTAGGTTGCCAATGAAGAAAAGTATTGCAAACTTAAACCTGGTAAGTACTCGGAATACCAAAGGTATTTTTCAAAAAATTGGCCCGGATGTCCCAGTACATTTAGTATAAATGACGGTTAACTTTGGTCGGCTATAATTACGTAACTAATTGACCAATCGATCTGTTTTTTTTTTAAAGAAGCGTCTTTCCAGTAACTTTTAAAACCTGCTTTAAAAAATTTGATTTGATTGAATATTCACAAAGTTTTTCTAATTATTCTAGTCTAAAAATTGGACCAATGTTTAAACAGGCGCCAGAGCTCTCCTAATTGACGCATTCGAATTTTTCAAAAAGCGTTTGAAAGCTTGAGAGCCCTTCTATATGTGATTCAATTTTCAAGTATCTAAGGGCCTTGGTTTTTGCTCTGCAAAATTTTGAAAATTTGCAATTTTTTTTTTCTGGGTTGCAAAATTATTATGCAAAATCGATCGAACCGATTTTGATGAATCTACATAACATGAACTTTTCTTGAGCCAAGTATGAAGGTACATCCTATACCCAACTTAAAGACCACAAAAATATTCCCTAAGTAATGTTTTTTAACCCCATTTTTCGCGACTTTTTCGATTTTTACAATAATAATCATGATTCATTTGATTTGTATCTAGTCATATTTTGTAAAATTTAATTACAAACATTTTTTTCCTCTTTCAATTTCGGATAAAATCAACTCTTGAAGAGATACATAATAGGAAGGTATGACATTTTTCGAATTTTTTTAACATATTGTGCCGCCAAAAGTTAAGCCCATGTTTTTTTTTATGCACATAGAATAATTTTCATTTCTAGTGATATTTTAAAGCCAAAAAGTCAAAAATCTCCGCGGATATACTATTCACCCAAACTAAAACAGTTACCGCCTTGTCTATCTCAAATGCTTTCAATTTTGGCTATATTTTGTATGGTGAAGAAAGAGCGGCAATTTACACCTGCAAAAGTTTTTTGTGCATCAACTGAGGTCTCCTCAAAGACTCCTTACGCTAGGTTGTTGGCAAAGCACACCGATACATTTGTATTTAAGAAGGCACCCTATGCTTCAACATGTGATAATTAATAGCACTCCCATTTTGTTTCGCAACTGCAGTTGCACTTGAAAGTACAGTTGGTGATTTTTGGTAGCATCTCGCTAACTCCTGTATTTAGTTTCGTAACTACAGTCTTTACGTTTGAACTTGCGAAGGACGTTTATGTTTCAGTTGATGTCGTTTGATATTACTACCACATTCAGTTTCGTAATCGCACTTCTTACAACTACGTTTGAACCTGTGAAGGATCTTTATGTTTCAGTTGGTGGGATCGTCTAGCTCTTCTGCATTTAGTTTCGTAATCGCAGTCCTTACACTTGTACATCTGAACTTGAGAAGGATCTTTATGTTTCAGTTGGTGGTATTGGATAACATAACTGTATTTAGTTTCAAATTCGCAGTCGTTACATTTGTACATTTTCACCTGCAAGGGCTCTTTGTGTTTCAGTTGATGTCGTTTCATATAATTGCTGTACTTAGTTTCATAATTGCAGTCGTTACACCTGTACATTTGGGCCTGTGAAGGATCTTTATGTTTCAGTTGGTGGTATTGGATAACATAACTGTATTTAGTTTCAAATTCGCAGTCGTTACATTTGTACATTTTCACCTGCAAGGGCTCTTTATGTTTCAGTTGATGCCGTTTCATATAATTGCTGTACTTAGTTTCATAATTGCAGTCGTTACACCTGTACATTTGAACCTTCGAAGGGTCTTTATGTCTCACCAGGTGTCTCCGAAGTAATTTCTTATTTTCAGTTTCATACTCACACGATTCACATTTATACGCTTCCAAACCATTCTCATGTCTCGCACAGTGTGCCGTAAAACGGATCTTACGTTCAGTTTCGTAAATACATTTATCACATTTGTACAATACTTTGTGCTTTTGCTTGGTTTTCACTTCTGATCCATTCTCATGTTTACATCCATCGTCTACTCCATCTTTACACTCGTTTTCCTCGAATGGTATAATATCTGAGGTCTGCAATGGCGTGTCGCTGAAAAAATTGCATATACAGGGTACTTTTAAAAATCAGGTTTTAATTTTAAGGGGTCAGATGGCACATGCCAAAATATTGCGTTTCACAAAAAATGAATCTACTTAATAAACAGACACATTTACATTTGAAGTTAATGAGATGTATGACTGTGACTCTGCAACTATTATTTTACATTTGATCTGAAATAACTCAGGGCTTGCTGTCACTCTTAAACTTGATCGAATTATGTGTTATTAAAAAGGATAGTAACTTGCCACAATGCATTATTTAATTTTTATTATAGTGAAATAATTTTCTACTGTTCAAATAGTGCAATAAAAAACTATAAAGTTGGTGTAACGTTAAAATTTTAATCTTGGTATAATTTTGAATAATTATAGAGTAAACCGCTCAACAATCAAACAACTTCTAGTAGTATACAACCAAATATACATAAAATTCACATTTCTTTCCTATAGAGATATTTGAATAAATTTGAGTAGGTAGTTTTATTATGTTAAATGTTAATCAGTATATTATTATTATTATTTAAAGTTAAGCAGTTAAAATTAAATAATGCCCTTTGTTAAAAATTATGGGATATTTTGTTATTTCTGTTACGAATTATTGGCGTAGTCTCGAATATTCATAGAACAGCGTTTTTGCGGCAATTCAAAGCACAAAAACCATTCGTATCAATATACTTATCATTCTTAGAGAGTTAGCTATTAAAGTGTGAAGCAGGTGAATTATTGCAATTTTTGACGATATTAACATTTTAAAGTGTTCCTTTGGGATATATTACAAAATTGCATTATAACTGTGACCGTATTGTTTGGAAATGGTGCTAACGGCTCATAGTTTCAGCTGCATTGCTGGATTTAAAGACATCTGCCCACATTTTCAACACCTAGATAAATTATACAAACTATTATATGTATATAGCTCACTACCAAGCCACCCTCCAACCACGTAAGTCATTAAGACTAAATTAATTAAATTCATTAACAATGCATTATTATAATTCAATAACTGTGATTTTATCTCACGATTATTGTCAAGTTTATAACAAACTTCCTGCAAGGCACTTTGCTGCAAATTTCGTGCAAACCGGCCATAAAAACTTTTACTATTTTACAGATTCATTTGTAAATTGAAGGAAATTGTTTCTTCAGTTCGAAAACTAAAATTCCACGTTTGATAATACATATCTTACATTGGTTTTTGCCCCCGCAAAATATTCGGGTATTTTAGTGTTTCTACACTAAATAAATTTTGAGTTGGCAATGAGCACATAAAAATTGCAGCTTTCTTTGTTCCACATGTCTGACGTCTCGATTGAATATTCGCAGTTTTTCTAATTGTTTATAAGTCCAAAAATTCGACCAATGTTTAAACACGTGCCAGAGCTCTCCTAATTGACGGATTGGAATTTTTCAAAAAGCGTTTGAAAGCTTGAGAGCCTTTCTATGTGTGATTCAATTTTCAAATATTTAAGGGCCTTGGTTTTTGCTGTGCAAAATTTTGAAAATTTGCAATTTTTTTTCAAAATCTGGATTGCAAAATTATTATGCAAAATCCATCAAACCGATTTTGATGAAATTTTGTTTGATGATTCTACATAACATGAACTTTTCTTGATATGAAGGTCCTATACCCAATTTAAAGACCCCAAAAAAAATTCCCTAAGTATTGTTTTTTAACCGCATTTTTGCGATTTTTTCGATTTTTACAATAAGAATCATGATTCATTTGATTTGTATCTAGTCATATTTTGTAAAATTTAATTGCAAAAAAATTTTTCCTGTTCCATTTTCGCCTAAAATCAACTCTTGAAGAGATACGTAATTAAATAGGAAGAAAAGTATGTCATTTTTTGAATTTTTTTAACATATTGTGCCGCCAAAAGTTAAGCCCACAATTTTTTTTATGGGCATAGACAAATTTTCATTTCTAGTGATATTTTAAAGCCAAAAAGTCAAAAATCTCCATGGATATACGATTCACCCAAACCAAAACAGATACCGCCTAGTCTATTTTAAATGTAGGGTTTCTGGTCGAGACTTCTCGAAGCGAGAATTCCCGGGAAATCTGGCCTTACTCGAGTCGAGGAAAAAGTGTCGAGAAATCGAGAAATTTAAAAATCACGCGCATCTTAAGTTCGTTTCGTTCATGCGTTCAATTCGTTTCTCGACAAATAACTGAGCGGTTAAAGTGGTTTCTCAACTAGCTCATGATTTATTTATTTTAAGTTTTTAAGGATTTAGTTTACTTTGATGATTCTTATTTGTTTAATGTACCTTATAAGTCTGTGTAGAAATTTTATTATAAGCAGATACTTAATGTTGATGTTGATTCTAAAAATATTTAGTTCCTGTTCCTTTTGTTGATTATTTTATTTTTGTTTTGTTAATTAAAAGATTGTGATTATAAGTGATAAAGTAATAGGAAGAACACTTATATTTAATAGCACTCCCATTTTCAGTTTCGCAACGGCAGTTGCACTTGAAAGTACAGTTGGTGATTTTTGGTAGCATCTCGCTAACTCCTGTATTTAGTTTCGTAACTACAGTCTTTACGTTTGAACTTGCGAAGGACGTTTATGTTTCAGTTGATGTCGTTTGATATTACTACCACATTCAGTTTCGTAATCGCACTTCTTACAACTACGTTTGAACCTGTGAAGGATCTTTATGTTTCAGTTGGTGGGATCGTCTAGCTCTTCTGCATTTAGTTTCGTAATCGCAGTCCTTACACTTGTACATCTGAACTTGAGAAGGATCTTTATGTTTCAGTTGGTGGTATTGGATAACATAACTGTATTTAGTTTCAAATTCGCAGTCGTTACATTTGTACATTTTCACCTGCAAGGGCTCTTTGTGTTTCAGTTGATGTCGTTTCATATAATTGCTGTACTTAGTTTCATAATTGCAGTCGTTACACCTGTACATTTGGGCCTGTGAAGGATCTTTATGTTTCAGTTGGTGGTATTGGATAACATAACTGTATTTAGTTTCAAATTCGCAGTCGTTACATTTGTACATTTTCACCTGCAAGGGCTCTTTGTGTTTCAGTTGATGTCGTTTCATATAATTGCTGTACTTAGTTTCGTAATTACAGTCGTTGCACCTGTACATTTGAACCTGTGTGTGCCTCAATAGGTGTCTCCGAAGTAAGTTCTTATTTTCAGTTTCGTACTCACACGATTCACATTTATACGCTTCCAAACCGTTCTCATGTCTCGCACAGTGTGCCGTAAAACGGATCTTACGTTCAGTTTCGTAAATACATTTATCACATTTGTACAATACTTTGCGCTTCTGCTTGGTTTTCACTTCTGATCCACTCTCACGTTTACATCCATCGTCTACTCCATCTTTACAGTCGTTTTCCTCGAATGGTACAATATCTGAGGTCTGCAATGGCGTGTCGCTGAAAAAATTGCATATACAGGGTACTTTTAGTAATCAGGTTTTAATTTTAAGGGGTTATAGCTGACACATGCCAAAATATTGCGTTTCACAAAAAATGAATCTAATAAACAGGTATACAGTAAAATCTCTATAATCCGGCACTACAGTACAACGACACGTCCAGTAATTCGGCCTTATTTTTTTCCGCCTGTCACTACGCATGTTGCGTTTGTCTACTATCTTTGAGGAACATAGTTATAGTTTAGTTGCCGCAATGGGAGCGCTGTTTATTCATCCTCTACACTTATTTGCACAAAATTACGTTTGTCCAATATACGTTTATTCGACGGTGTTAAATTTGGTAGTGCAAGTAATTTAAAATGTCAAGAGAAAACATGAAACACCATTATTGAAAGAAAAGAGATTAGACAAAGGTAAAAAAATGTGCAAGCTTGCCAAATAATACCAATAAAAACAATTATTAGTACCTTTACAGCAATCTAACGTTCTTATTTCACAACAGAAAGAGCCGTAATTTGGTACTGGGAGACAAGAAGATATGAGCAATCCCTTTTCGTCGGAAGAAAATTTCTGCGGCCACTAATTTCAGTTATGAAACATTCAATTGTTTTTTTTTTGGGCGCCATTTTGGGATCTTGAGAGTGTCGATAGAGGATAAAATTACGAACAAGTCAATATGTAACACTGCTATTTTATTTGAAACAATAACCCATAAAATTAAAGAAATTCAATAATTTATTTAAAAAATTAACAAAATCTTGTTAAACCAAAATGGATTTCTCATATCTTCTTATCTCCCAGTACCTTTCAGTTCTTTCTGTTGCGAAATAAGGACACTAGACGGCATTTTCTAAAATCGCTGTTTTCAGTTTTTTTTCACAATATTTCAACAACGGCAGCAGATATCTTTGATCTGTTTGGTTTATTTTAATGACCCCGAAAAGGCGTAACTTGTTTCTGATTTGAGTCACCCTGTAGCCACGAAAAACGGACTACCCTGTATATGTACCAGTCTCGTTAATAAACAATTAAAAGTAACGTTTTTTAATTCGTGACATTCAAATAGTGCAATAAAAAGTATATAATTGGAATAAGATCAGAAATTTCGTTTCTGGATATTTTATTGATAAGAAACTCAGATCAAACAGTTGTGACATTTTGGTAAGTCTGTAACTGGCAGCGACCAGGTACATTTGCCACGGCATAACAACCGGAAGAGCCATTGTACTTTAAACTTATTAGTTGGGGTAGGCTTTTGAATTGACATTCCTCTCACCCTTACTAAGGATACTTTCGTTTCTTTTTTTATTTTTTCAATTTTTTCAATATTTAATAATTTCTCATGAAAAAGAATTTGGATTTTTGCAAAAACAACATTTTCAATATAAAAAATCGAATAAAAAGTCAAGTTTGACGTTTAAATTCATAGCCAACTTTTGAATTTTCGATGATTTTAAATAACAGTTACGATACGTATCATTAGTTATTCGTGTTTAAGTAATAATTTTTTAGGTCCGCCAACGGGTTAAAAAATTCCGTCACATTTTAGTGGTGCATCATCCCCTTATCAACCCTTTAAATGCTCCAATTGAACTCTACTCACCGTCGGTTAATGGTCTTGGTACACTCACACCCTGTACCAAATTTGGTTTTTCTAAGTTCAAATATAACGCGATATTGATTTTTCTCGAAACTTGAAACTTTCAAAGCCTATAACGTCTCAGGGGTACAGCTTAGTATAGGGGTAAGTTATGTCAAATCTCACTATATTTTGGGTGCCCCTGCATGCCACTGCTCTGTGTCGGTTCTTATGCAAAACACCCTGTATAAGTATCATTATTATTATTATTATCTGCCCGCATTTTTTTTCCTAAATTATCTTTTTCAAACATCATGTTTTAGGTATTTTTTTCTCGATACAACATTGGATACTATTACTAGAAATTCCAAATTTTGCCTGAGGTCCGATATATGAGGAACGATCGAAGATACATTGGGAAAAACTATAATATAATAATTTGTTTTTGACTTTTGACGATTGTTTAAAAATTTGTATAATATCATTTATAACCGACATAATCTCGTAATTTGTTACAATTAGTTTATTAGATGTTATGTATTTAATTATATAAATCACGACAGTGTCAAGACCACGGGCCGCCATTTTTTAAATTAATGTTAAAATAATCTTCTCTTACCTCCATTCCTCATCTTCGGATTTTATGTCGACACTTTCAGCTTTGATGGACATTTCCATCTCGTTAACATCCAATTTTTTGTCCAAGTCTTCCGTCTTAACAAATAAATTAAGTGAAGACGTTTCTGTTTGACTTTCTGTGTCTGAACAATCCAAAATACTTTTAATTTTTTCATCTACCTCTGAGCAATCTTTTAGGAAACTGTTGTGAGTGCACAGAGAATCGAAGCAGGGCTTACATACAATGGGATCTTTGACGATGTTTATAATCTGCAAAGTATAGTTTATTAAATTCTGACAGACGCAAGTATTTAATATCATTGATACCATTTCAGGAACTAATTTCTCGATAGCTTCAAGTTCCTCTTCACCAATGCACCTAAACTCACTTTCTACTGGCTGGATACACAATCGACATATTTTCTGACTGCAAACTAATTCACTTTTCTTTTCCTGCATGTACACTTCTCTTAGGTCGAGCTGTAACATTTTGTCGCTATCCACATAAGGTACAATTGTATTGTCTGTATTCAGACATGTTGATTTAAATTCTGACGCCGCATTTAGCTTTCTTCTGCAAACGTTACATATAACCTCTTTGCTCTTGCCATCAAATTTCTGAAAAATATGCAACTTTAACAAGAAAGAAAGTAACTGTGGGGTAAAATAACAAATAAGTTCTAATAATAATTCGTTGACTTACCAATTTCAGCAAAAGACCATCTAGAACATCTCTAATAACGTGGTCTATCACTTCAAAACTTTTACCGGTTATAGATTTATTGCAAAGCCTACACGAAGTTTCCTTAACATCAGCCATTACTCCACATCAATCTTCTTTTAGATATAAATAGAACACAAACACAAAATTATAAAGATGTCAATTCTAACCTCCTCGGCTTCTTGTTGCAACGCATCTTAGGCTAGTTGCAAGTTGCAACCATAGAAAAGGATTTTATATAATTTCCGTTTTCTATGGCTGCAACATAAAACATATAATACAGAGTTACAACCCAGATTAATTCAAACTGGGGTTTTAGTCTGTGGTGTAAATATCAAATTAGTTTTATATCTATTCTGTGGTTTTCTTAACCTTTCTTTTTAAAAATGTATAATATATATTTAGTTGGGATTATGGGATGTTATGTTCATAGGACATAAAACTCATTTAGCTTTAAGGAAGGCCCCCCAGTCATATTGCTGCTCTATTGAAAAACTATATTGATAAGCTACTAAGTTCTTAAAGAACAAAATACAATACAAAGGTAATGGCCTTGATTTCTCGACATAACACTTGTTTCAGATAAGTAGAGATAAGATATCCACGTTATCTAAAGTTATAAATATCAAAATATCCTCAATATTTATTGAACTGTATATTTTATGAACAAAAGTACTCTCTAAAAGAAATAAAGCAAATTAATATATGATCTTGTGATAACTGAATTTCAAGCAAGTCTACCTAACGCAGGTAAGAGGCAAAAGATAATTAGTTTTTTTTTCTAGAACTGTTCCTGTGATATTCCAGACTATTTAACTGTATATAGGGTATCGTAGAATGAAAACACACCTATAGTACTTATAAAAGTGAAGCCAAATGAAAAACACGAATCTTAGTTAATATTAAGAATGTGTTGACAGCATGTTTTAAGTAAAAACTGGCGTCGAAACTGTAATTTTAGGTTAAGATAAGGTTATTTTCAGTTGTTCAGGGTGTACAAAAGTTAATTTTCGAGATGGAGACTATTAAAAGTAGTCGCCTAAATCGTCTAGACTTTTTTCTGGTTTTTTTATCGTGACATTTTTCTGATATACGATGATGTGTTACATAATGTGGAGCACAGATTCGTGGTCTGAAAATAGGTAGGTCTGGGCTAATTCACGTGTATCCGAATTGGCTTCGTTTGACCGTTAGATGACCTCAAAATTCGTGAAAATTTTTTGATTTTCGTAATTGACTCGAACACGTATTCGATTTTGATTATTTTTAGAGTGTGGACTTTTGCTTTCAATCTACACATTTTAGTACTATACAGAGTGTTTTTTAAAACTTACAACCCCTACAAATGATGTGATAATAATATCGGTTCATATTTTCCCCTTTCTGGCAATAATAACTACTATTTTTTATCTGATAGGTGATACCATTTGGAAGTTTTTGGGCCTCTTGTAGAATTTTTATTAAATGAGCGGTTTGGATACAAAAAATATTTTTGAATGTATAAATTATCTTGCCACCCATATTACAATACTTAACAAAGTGCTAGTAGGCTCTGATCTTGTATTCGCGCCAAATTTGGTCGGCCATCTTGGATCCGCCATCTTGAATTTTGCAAAATTGACCTCGGATCCGTAATCAGCGACCCCGAAAACCCCCGGATACCAAATTTGGCGGGAATCTGTTATTTTTTTGGAAATTCGTGATTCTGACCTTAATTGACCCGTTTTCTTGAGGTTAGAAAAACAACCATCACGTGACACATCAATTCTGAGTGCTATATATTCGGTTTGATCTGCAGTTTTTCGATTATTAGAGAACGTTTTCGCACAATTGCAACAAAAAATTGCCAAAATTGTCATGCGAAAACGTTGAGAAACTGCAGATGATACCGAAGAATTTACAGAAAGCATTTTTGAAGAGACAGATTTCTTACAAGACGAAGAAGGTGATGAATTCATTCCTGCCAAAATAAGTAGAATTGAATAACATTAAATCAAAGTTTTTACAATAAGAATAAAAGTTTTTACTTTCATAAACATAAATCATTATTGCTTTGTATTTTGACTGGAATATAAGTAAATGCGTTTTGCTGAAATGTGTTCACTACCACAATAAAAAAGTCTTGTCTCTATTTAACAGTTTAGTTGGAATTATATATTTTATTCAAATTTTGATCTTTCACCAAGAAAGTTTCTTGGCTTTCGGAATTCATTCAAATAGAGCACTAGATGTGTAGGAAATAAGTGTAACTGACGACAAACTTAAAATTTTCAGAAATGACCCAGAATTTGTCTCAATGCGCATACGTGTCTGTCTACGGTTTACTCCTACTACTGCCTTGCAGGAAATGGAGCGTTTCACGAACTAATACGAAATTTTTGTTTTAGAATATTAGTATTGAAAAACCATGGATACCACCAGCTATACTTATAACGGTAAGTCTTGGAGACGATGCCCAACTATATCAGACAGCAACAGCTTCTTCCATGCTTCATTGGGGGCGAGGACCGACGAAAGCGGCTCATATCTCGACGAGCAGGCAGAGTTCAGGCGAATGCGTTGGGCTACCTTCCTCACTTACTTCAAAAACCAGAAAATGCCCTCCTGTCTGGCGGACACCTTAAGAAAATGTCTCTACGCAAACGAGAAATACCAACACGTGTCTACTGACGTTAAACAGCATCTTGCAACGTATATTTATGATATTATGACTGGCGAACGAGCCGTAGCGAAGGAAGATATTCCAATTTTATCTACAATGGAAAATATTAAAGTTGTAGTGCTCTCAGGGGGGAGGAAAGATCCTATAGCCATCATAGAACCTAATCCCAACATTCTTGGAAGTTACCCAAAAGAAGTCCCGAGAGGAAAGCCAAAAGAAGTTGTCGTTTGCCTGGAAGTAAACGTTTTTGCAAGGCTGGAACCAGTAAATAAAGGAGTTTGTCCAGAATCGAATAAAAACAAGGTAGAGAGGAAAACAGATCCTAGTAAATACAGGAAAGGCGGCAGCGCGGGGAGCAAGGGAGTGGAATACCAAGTTTATTTACTAGCGACGGTTATTCTAAACGCGCTCAAAAATGCATTAAGTCAATGGAAGTTGTCTACGGAGAACGAAGATGCAGGAAAGTTCGACGATATCGTTCTGGAATTGTCGGAGGGGGCCGTTCTCATACAATCCAAGCACAAAGAGAGCAACAAGAAGATCACTTTGGAAGAACTGACTTCCACCAACTCCAAGAACGATGATTTCAGCGTGCCGAAATATTTCCTGTCCTACATACTAGTAAAGCAAAAATTTAACGTGAAAAATGTTATCATCTGTACGAACGCAGGCGTCAGTCAGAAGGCTCTAGACTTTTTAGACCATCGAGGGGAGAATTCTGAAAGTTTGCTGCACTATGAAGATGGCGATTGTTCATTTTATACGCTTAAAGATACATTTTTACCGGGCTTGATGGAAACAACAGTTAGCTATTACAGACAGAATTTTAAAGACAAAGGTATCGAAGAATCGGTTATTACCGAAGAAAACTTGAAAGACTTTTCGGAACATTTACAGATTTACTTCAATTATCCGCCTCTAAAGACCCTGGAGAAGAACATTGAAAAATTATTGTCACTCACAAAGTGCTGCGGCAATTCACAGGGAAAGATAACCTCACTGGAAATGTTTTCTAAAGTAATGGATTGGTTCCAGCAAAAAAAGGGCTTATGCGAGTATTTTACAGAACTTCACGCCAAGGCCATGTTCGCAGAGATATGGACGGACAAATACTGTCAAAAATTAGAACGGTATAAGGTGTCTCTCCACAAAAACGACTTGAATTTCCAAGGCCCGAAACAGATATTTCGCGTCGCTGTAGCCCACGGCCATCTATTGCAGGCAATAAAAATTTATCACTCTGTGCAGAGCGATAAAGAGAAAATACTCTTTACCGACTCTGACGATGACATCGACACCCAGAAATTGGTACTAGAGGCATTTGGGCTTCCTAAGTACGTCTTCTTAATAGTGACTCTACTTAAAGTTACCGAAGGGTCTGTAACAATGGAAATGTGGGATAAACTAAGAGATGTATTGGCCAAGAAAGAGTATAAGAAGGTTATTTTGATTACCGGGTGTAACGATGCCCTCTTCACACATATTGGACCTTGCTATGAAACTGTCAATGGAGCAGTGACGTTCGAGGATCTATCATTGGGTTCCCAGGAGAGTTTATTAAAAACGAAAAATATAGTCTTTCAAGGACGGTCTGTTTGTTTAGAAGAATTATTGGCTGCTCGTACAACCGAAGACTATTTAAGAGCTGTAGACGCAGAGATACTAGAAAAGATTATTGCAGGGGAAGAAGTGAAAGTGGGGATGCGACCTTTTGACTTGGACGAGAACATCGCACGGTTTTACATAAACCGCACATTCAAAAGGACAAACGAAGAAATAGACGAGCATAACATCTATGAAGTGAAGGAAGATGTAGTCCTACTCTCCGACAGTGCGGGGATGGGGAAGAGCACTGTCCTTTCTAAACTGGCGACGACTATAAAAAATAGAAACGCTCACTTGTGGGTGATTAAAATCGCACTCACTGAGTATACCGGCATCTTAAGGGACGCCCTAACAAATCACCGAGAAACCGTAAACGTAGTGGAACTGTTAAATTCGAAAAACTCGACAAAATTGACGAACAACTTAGAAAGGTTTGTGTTTTCCATGGACAAAAGAGTCGTATTGATGCTCGACGGGATCGACGAAATCAGTCCCGATTACACGGAACTCGTTCTCAGTCTGCTGGCTCGGTGCTTACAAACAGTCAACTTTGCGAAAGTGTTCGTTACCACAAGACCGCACATGGTCCGAAAATTGGAAGAAGTTTTGAGGGTGACGCCGTTCGTATTGCATCCCTTTACGCAACAGAACCAGGTGAACTTCCTTACCAGTTACTGGGGACATAATTTGAATATAGATGGCGAGAATGTCGGCAGGTGCGAGAGGTACGCCAGGACGCTGATGAACAAAATGTCGTCTTGGACGAAACGACACCGTTTCGACCACGAAGTTGACTTCACGGCAATCCCTCAGCAACTGAAAATGCTAGCGAAGATTTTCCAAGAAAGCATAAAACAGGGTGGGCCGTCGGATTGGGAGGGATGCAGGGAATATTTAAGGGGGACTAGGGTCGAACCGAAATTGCCAGAGAAAATGGATATCAAGGAGTTATACGAAATGTTTATTAAGAGAAAGAGGGACATCTACGTCCACAAAGGAAATCCGAGTGGAAACACAGCGGCAAACGGGGCGCTGATTAAACAGTTCGATGAGGCGCTTATTTATCACAAGATACTCGCTTTAGAAGTAATCCTGTTTGAACAAGATTGCCGACATTTCTCGCACTATAAACAAGGGTACGATGGCATCGACGAAAATGCACTAAAGATAGGAATCGTGCAGAAATCAAGTAGCGGAGTTCACTTCATTCATAGGACTTTCGCAGAATATTTCGTGGCTGAAGGTCTAGTTCACGAATTGCAACTTCAGTTACGAAATCCAAAGGTAAATTTTCAAAAGTTTTTTATCGAAACAGCGTTGCATTCACCCGAATATCAAATCATCCGCTCCTTCCTCGACAGTTTTCTACGGAATATGCTGAATTCTGTTCCTTCGAACATTTTTGAGGGTTACCAGTCCCGTGACAGTAACAATTTATCCGTGGAATTTGATACCTGCCTTCATTTGCTTGCAAAGGAGGGTTGCGTCACACTATTGCGACTCATCCTCAAGTGCGTAAATTTCAAAGCTGTCGCGGACGGAAATTACTCGGGATGTTCATTTACAGGCATTTCCTCTACGCAAGACGATACCCAGAAATTAGAACTAGTAAATTTAATGATCAAGGAAAAAATGGCTATAAATTCGCTGAATGCTATAGAAACTTTACTGCAAAGCGTCGGAATCGACATTAGGAACATGATGGGACGAACGCCACTCTTGGAAGCGACAAGACACGGACAGCTCGAAACGGTGAAGTTCCTTGTTAGCCTGGGAGCAAAAACCGACATCGCAGATAACAATGGACAAACCGCAGTACACTTTGCGGCTGAGATCGGTCACTTGGAAATAATCAACGTACTTCTTGAACGGGGTGCAGATTTCAATGCCGTCGATAATAAAAAACGCACGGCAGTGCATTTGGCTGCGTGGGACGGGCACTCGGACACAGTGAAACTCCTTCTGGAACTGGGTGTGAGCGTCAACGTTAGAGATGGCGACAGCAACACGCCGCTGCACTTGGCCGCTTCGAACGGCCATTCGGACACAGTCAAATTGCTCCTTGAGCTGGGCGCAGATTTCAGTACTCGAAATAACGACGGTCGCACGCCGTTGCACCTAGCTGCCTCCTACGACCAGTTCGACATAGTCAAGTACCTTCTTCGACTGGGCGCAGACTTAAATACTACGAATAACGATGGCCGCACCGCACTGCATTTCATTACTAAGCATAACCGGTTAAACAGCGTCAAATCCCTTTATGAACTGGGGATAGACTTAAATATTAGGGACAATGACGGCCGCTCGGCGCTACATTACGCCGCTTCGAACGGTCACTGGGACGCAGTCAAATACCTTCTTGAACTGGGCGCAGATTTCAACGCTAGGGACAACAAAGGTCTCACAGCACTGCATCACGCTGCCTGGGAAGGTCACATTGACACGATCAAGTTGCTTTCCGAACTAGGCGCAGATTTATTTGCTAGAGACAACGAAGGTCTGACGGCACTACATTTTGCTGCCGAAAACGGTCACTTGGACGCAGTCAAATCCCTTCTTGAACTGGGCGTACATATCAACGTTAGCGACAGCGACGGCAGCACAGTACTGCATACGGCTTCCAGGGGTGGGCAATTAGCCGTTGTGGAATATCTCATGAATCTCAACACTGACGTCAATTTCAAAGACATAAACGGTCGTACGGCCCTGCATTTTGCTGCCTGGAACGGACACCTAGATATAGTCAACTTGCTCCTCGAAATGGGTGCCGATTTCAATGTTAGGGATAAAGATGGCCTTACGGAACTGCACGTTGCTACCCTCAACGGTAAATTCGACACGGCTCGATTCTTACTTGAACTAGGAGCAGATTTCTTTATTGAAGATGACAGAAGCACGCCTCTGCATTTAGCTGCGGCGAATGGTCACTTGGACACGGTTAAGTGTCTTCTTAAACTAGCGGAAACTTTTAACGCTGGAGATTTTGGTGCCGAGAAGGTTAATCAAATATCGACCGTTGTCGAAAGTCTCGTGGAAGCCTGTGGTGACGTCAATGTCAAAGATGGCGATGGCCGCACGCCACTGCATTTTGCCGTTTCGAAAGGGCGGTTAGACACGGTTAAATTCCTTCTCGAACAAGGAGCAGATTTAACAGCTAGAGATAATGAGGGCCTGACGGCACTGCATCTGGTTGCCGGGAATGGTCAACTAGACGCTGTCAAGTTCCTTGTCGACCGGGGTCTACATTTCCATGTCGGTGATCGTGATGACAGCACGCCACTGCAGTTGGCTGCTATGATGGGTCAATTGTCCGTTGTTGAATATCTCGGGAAGCTCGGCGAAGACGTTGGTTACAAGGACAACAACGGTCGCACGGCATTGCATTTTGCTGCGTGGAGCGGACACTTGGATGTAATCGGTTTTCTTCTTGAGATGGGCGCCGATTTCAATGTTAGGGATAAGGACGGCCTTACGGCACTGCACGTTGCTCTCGCCAATAGTAGATTCGACACGGCTCGGTTCCTCCTCAAACAGGGGGGCGATTTATATGTTGGAGATGATGATGGAAGTACGCCGTTGCATTTGGCTGCGGCGAATGGTCACCTGGACATTATCAATTGCCTTCTTAAGCTTGCTGAAGATTTTTATGCTGCGAATCTTGTCATGGAGGGGCAATTATTAACCGTTATGGAAAGTCTCGGAAAAACCTGTGGTGATGTTAATTTCCAAGACAGCGATGGCCGCACGCCTCTGCATTTTGCTGCTTCCAAGGGTCGGCTGGATATAGTCAAGTTCCTTCACGAAATGGGTGCCGATTCCAGTATTAGGGACAAAGACGACAATACGGCATTGCAACTAGCTCTACATAAAGGTTACCATCAAATTGCCGACTATTTTGAGAACAATGTAAAGAAGTGATGGAAAAATGGTAAGTACTGATCCTTACATTTAACAATTATTTTCTTCCTCAGGGGTTGTTGTTCCGTTTAGATTGTCCAACTCGGCAAATTTTTCCAATGACATTACCGAGGAGGAAAGTTGCGTAAAATGTTAATTTATCAAGCCTTCTGAATACGTGGTTAAAATTATTGACATTATGACTGAATCACCCTGTATATTAGGGTGGCCCAAAAAAAAAACGAATATTTTTTTTCGTGTCTTGTGAAAATATGTTAGTTTATCATGTTTTAAGAGCCCCCTCAAAAAAAATTTTTTAGAGGTCTCAAATTTTTAAAAATTTCCAAAATCGTCAAATATTGAATTTTTTTTATTTAAAATTTTTTTTTTCGTTATTATCATTTTCTAAGTTGAAAAAAATCTCGATTTTGAAAATTTCAAATTGATATTTTAATTTCTAAAGATCACGCATAATTCTTTTAACTTTAAAAGTAGTGTACCTAAAATGTTTTCGAGCGACCTCTAAAAATAAATATCAACGAACTAATAATTTTTTTTATTGAATTTGATGAACAAAGGAATAGAAATAAATCACAAGACAAAATTTCTCGAAGTAAAATTTACTACCGCACTGTGAATATGAAATGTTTATAATTTTTTAATTTTTTAAAATTTAAGAGAGACAGAAGAGAGAGGAAACCTGCTCGGTGAGTATAGCATGCACATGGTGTATACTACTTACATAGAAATATATACAATAGCCTTGCTTGCGAAGGGGAATTTTGAAAGTTGTTTTTCTTGTCAGTTTGGGTGACGAAGCTAAGCACACCAAATATTTTTTGTTACTTACAGTTTTATTTATTTTAAAAGCGTTCTTTGTTTATAAGAATTAAATTAAAATTATTATTGTAAATGGTATAAGAATATGGTTTTTATGTTTTCGAGGAAGCTGCAGTTATCAGTGTGTTAAAAAGTGTATTATTCACATATTTTGTCCATTTTGAGGTTATACATATCTACGCTCGTACACTTGTAATTTATAATTTTAATTTTTCGAACCTCTATATTACAAATATGAGCGAGTTTGATTTAAAATCGATAATTATTGTTAACTAAATTGTTTAAAATAGTCGGCCATATTGGATCAACCATTTTGAATTTTCATTTTCCGACATTATATTCTTGTTTAGCGACCTCAAAAACCCCTATATTACAAATATAAACGAGTTTGATTTAAATCGATAATTGTTAAATAAATTGTTTAAAATAGTCGGCCATATTGGATCAGCCATTCTGAATTTTCATTTTCCGACTTCACATTCTTGTTCAGGGACATCGAAAACCCCTATATTGTCAATTCGAAAGAATTCGATTTTAAATTCATTGAATTATTTTAAATGTTCTTAAAAAAAACTATTTATTATTGTTTAAACAACAACAACAACAACAACAATTAGCGTACAGAAATAAGTTTATAACTTTTTTCTAATACTTATCTCCAAGTAATTTCAAAAGGTTTAAGGAAAATCCATGTTCCCCATAATTATTTCGAAATAATGCGTAATTTTAAGCTATCTTGACTCCACTATATAGAAAAATTTAAGATATTCTTTGTTATAGTACTTGATCTCATGACTGATGACTGCAGTTCAACATCTACGAGTGATATGTAATATCCAGTGTCATATAGTACGTAATATTTAAATATATTCTCAGGCATATTTGTTTTTAATAAAGATGTAGCATCGTTTTGTTTTTGCAAACCTCTGTAAATTATTTACTATTTACGTCATAGCTTGCAATTCTGTTGGCTGGTGTTAATTCGTCAATTTAATCTAATTATTGTTAACTAATTGTTATTATATAATGCTGTATCATCATATATTTCATCTGTATAAATATTCTATATCCATTTTAAATAAAAAGATATTATCCATTCACTTTTTCATTTTTCTTCCTAAAATTTTATCGAGCAAAATATTCTTTTACAGACAGCTTTACATCACAATATTCTTTAAGTATACGACTGTACTATTGAGTTAAAATATAAAAATATTTCTTGCAACATACACGAACAATTTTGTATAAAAGAATATTATGTAAAACTAAATTTAAAAAATTTAAATTTTTTATTTTGTTTTCGCGTGAAACGTAATTCTCTGCTTGGCAACCAGTTGCGCCACTGTCGTCTTGTTTCTGTGGTTTTGAATGAAGTTCGCATTCTTTTCCTTGATATTCTGTGGTAAACAACATAACCTATCTTTAATGTGTGCAATGTGAAAATAAGAAATAATGTATAATCATGGTTTAAAGAAATATGGTGCAACATTCCAAATTAAGCTTTGCATTCTACATACGTGAATTGTCGAATAAGGACAGTGAAATCGCAACACATCTCTATCGGTGTTGCCAGAGTCAGTACGTTCGTACTAGATTTAGTACTTTTTATTGTAATTTAGTACGTTAGTACGCCTACTATAATTCTAGTACGTTTTTTCAATTTGACTTTTATTTACCTCTATTAATATTGTGGGGAGAATATGTGTATGCTCCTTCCTATTTGTTGTTAACAATTAATTAAATACATAAATATAATTTAAAACAGCGCTACCAACATTGTTGTCAAGATCACTGATATCTTAAGTTTGCGGTTCAATTCTTTCTAACAATAATTGTTAGTGGTCTGTGCTCCCCCTCCCATTGGGCCCATTTAGTTTGGAATGTTTGAATTTCTGACATCTGATATCTGAGTATATGTAATCTGTAGTAGTAATTACTAATTAATAATTAGTAATCTATTAATAGTACAAATCTAGTGCAATAGTGTTCAATGTATGATCTAGTGATTGTTCTCTACATATCTTATATATTCTCTACATATTATAATGGATCGGTACGTATAATTTTTTAAAATAATTTCTATGGTTTAATAAGTGAATGATGATTTCAGATATATCATAAAATCTACTCGTCCAGCTCCAGCAGACGCAGGCAATTCCACAGAGAAAGATTGTGAAACTGAGAAAACCGTCGAGTTAAAAAGAAAGTAAGTATTAATTTGTTTATAAATTTCATTCATAGTTATCAGGTCTTATTTTATTTAAAGCATAACTGAAGTTGAATCTGTCAACACCAAGGCAAATGAATCAGATGTAAAGAAAAAAAAAATCTATGATCAAAAGTTTAGAGAAGATTGGAAACGAGAATTTCCATGGCTTAATAGTGATAAGTCGAATAACACATTTTGCAATTGCTGTAATAAAATAATTGCCGGTGGTAGGTCACATATAGAAAGACACATGAAAACAAATTTACATGTTAAAAATATGTCAAAATGTGAAAAAACACCGTTGATTGAAACTTTTTGTAATACCAATGAACAACTGAAACAGGAGAATATCGTGAAGACAGCAGAATTACAACTATGCATGTTTATTCACGAACACAACTTACCTTTTCGGTTGATGGACCATTTAAGTAAATTCATTGAACATGTTTCTCCCGATTCCAAGATTGCTAAATTATTAAAATGTGGTCGTACTAAAGCAACTTGGTTAACTAAGAATTGCTTGGCCGTAGAACAACTCGAAATCATATCAAGAAAATTACAAACCAATTTTTTTTCTCTCATTATAGATGAGAGCACTGATATCAACACTGAAAAGTGTTTAGCCTTAGTTGTTCGTTTTTATGACGTAACAAGTGGAAAACTTAAAGATAATTTTTTTGGATTGATTAAAATGGGAGATAGCACATCTGAAGGAATATTCAACAAGATCGTAAACTATTTAGAAAAATTGGAAATACCAGTGACAAATTTAATTGGTTTTGCGGCTGACAATGCATCAGTAATGATGGGAAGCATATCAAGTGTTCAAGCCCGATTTAAAGATATAGTACCTAATTTATTTGTACTTGGATGTGTGTGTCACTCCTTCCACCTGTGCTCGTCAGCAGCTGCAAAAAAATTACCTCGTAGTTTAGAAGATTTCATCAGAAATGTTTATAATTACGTATCAAACAGCAGTAAAAGAACAAGTAAATTAAGAGAATGTCAGGGATTTCTACATTTAAAACCACACAAACTTTTACATCCTAATCAAACTAGATGGCTATCCCTTCAAGTATGTAAGTATTGATCATTTTAAATAATTTAATCGCAATTGTTTTTTTTAGGCTGCCGTAGACAGAATATTGGAAAATTGGAGTGCTTTAATTATGTTTTTCACTAATGAATGTTTTGAAGAAAATTTACATTCTTGCCATGAAATTTTAACTTCCTTAAAAAACCCAATTTATAAAATATATTTCAACTTCCTTTCATATATTTTAGACATAATTAATAAATTAAATTGTGAATTCCAATCCGAGAAACCAAAATTACACCTTTTATTAAGAAGGGTTACTGATTTATATAAAACAATTTTACGAAATTATTTAAAAAAGGATTGTGTAGAACTGAATATAAAAGACATTGATCCAGCTAATCCAAGAAATTTTTTAGAAATTAAAAATATTTATTTTGGAGCTAACGTTGAAATATTATTAACACAAGAAGCATTAGATGAAAAGGAGGTACATAATTTTAGAATTCGTTGTTTAGATTTTTATGTAGAACTAAGCCAGCAAATTAAAAAGAGGTTTGATTTTGAAAATCCTATCTTAAAATTTGTGTCTAAATTTAATCCAAAAGTTGCATTGTCTGGAGATGTAGGTAGTATTGTTACAGATTCAGTAAAATATTTTCCACATCTAATTAATATGAATGAAATTGAAAAACTGAACACAGAGTGGAGATTGATATCTGATCTGGATGAACTGAAATCACATTGTGATAAATCTATTGTCGAATTCTGGGCTATTATTTTTAATTTAAGAAATGAGTTAGATGACCTAATGTTCCCAAATTTAACTAAATTAGTTAAAGGAATTTTATGTTTACCACATTCGTCAGCTGCCTGTGAACGGATATTTTCTGAATACAACTTAATTAGAACAAAAATAAGAAACAGATTGGAAATAGACACAAGTGATTCTATTTTGCATGCAAAACAATTACTTGAAGAAAATACGTGTTATACATGGCAACCATCAAGCACATTAAAGAAAAAACCAAAATATGCCATATGATTAATTCCTATTGTTTAGATATCAAAGTATTTATAATAAAGTTTTCAAAATATCTAATTTTCACTGTTGGAAATGTATCCCTTCTCCCGTCAACAAATAGTTCAAATAAATTTCTGGTGACAACTGTTCAAATTTAACATCTTCAATCATTTCTAAGCAGTTGTAGTAAAAAAATTACATTTAAATCTTTCAATTATATGTACATACATTTGTTTAGACATTTGCATTAGAAAAAGATAACAGACTGTGATAATAATAATTTAATGCTAAAAAGGAATTAATAGTAACCACTTAACTACCACACTCGTGACGTCACATTTTATGACCAGATGTTAGGTGCAAACCGTTGCAAAACCAAAATATGCCTAGAGCCTAACGTATTGCCAACGTTTTTATAATTTAAGTGCGTATTGCCGGCCGGGTGTCACTTCTATGTTCTGTGGTTTCTAGTACCCTATCAAAAAATCTAGTACTTTTTTACCGATCGGCTAGTACGAATCTGAAAAATGTTCTGGCAACACTGATCTCTATTTGCTAGTTTGTTTCCTGTACTCTTGGTTCATCATGACGAATATCAAATTGTAATCTCAAAAACAAAGAAAGGGGCAAAGGGCACCGCCTCAAATAAGGCTTTTGAATCAGGTATTTAACCACATTTAGGTACATACTAATGGCATTAATGTAACTTGCTGTTTTATAACTTTGTCCTGTACTCAAGGTCAAGTAAATTAATTATGATAATATAAGTATTACGCCTTCATATTTACTAATGTATAATTATCTACCTAAAAGTATATAAATATATTATGGCTGATATTTTGTTTAAAATATATATATTTCAGTATTAGCACCTGTATTTTTACTTTATTTTAAAGATATGAAGCTAATTCAAATAAACTTTTAACATTTTCATAAAAATTCTATCAAATGAAATCAGTGTTCAGGAATTGTTAAAATCTTATGTATGATGGCTATTTTTGTCTGTTAGCCTTTGTTAGATTAGAGTTAATGAATAAAATTCGTTTATTCAGCTCACTTATTATTCATGAAATGCCTTTCTTATACTTCCTTAATAAACAAACTTTACGGTAAGTAGAGTTCAATTGAAGCATTTCAAAGGGTTGACAATTTAAAAATTTCAGGATAGCGTCCTTCATACTGACGCTATGGTAATAACAAAAAAAAAAGTTCAAACAAAAGTTGTGAAGGGTTTAACAGTGTATCTAAAAAATGTATTTTCAACTTAGGTGATTTAAGCGAAATTTCGAAAAACCGACAATTTTCTGTCACACTATAGCAGTTGCGCCCCCCTAGCGGTGAAGTTACAAACTTGAAAATATTTTAAATCAATTTCTTTGATTTTGGTTGTATTTGTTAATAGATTTTTTACCCCATAATCGTAGCACGTCTAGTTTCCTATATACAGCCGCTCGATACTGTTGGCCCCTCTTGGTCGTAGGACATTCTATCTATAAATTCGTGAAAAAATGTCAACTTTCGAATAGCAGTATCGACATTTTGATAAGAATTGAAATCAAAAATTTAATCAAAGTTTTATGGCCCCAAAGAGAAAACCGATTTTTCGATTGTTTTTTGCGATATTTGAAATCAATTTAAGGCTCGCACAATATTTGCACATTGTGTGTAATTATTAAAGAAAATTTTAAACCCAACCCCATTCCTAATGATGTGGCGGCCTAAAAATTCGATTTTTGCAAAAACTATAAAATATTTTTCAATTTTGAAAAAATCATTTTATTTTGCTCACCAAGAGCTATCCTTTCACCAAGTTTCATAAACACATATTTATTTTTGAGACACAGCCGTTTGAAAAAATTGCGATTTTTAGCATTTTTTTTTGCAATAATTCATTAATTTATTTATCGATCAAAACTGGTTTGAGTTTATTCGATCTGTACTAAAAATTCCTACAACTTTTGTTTGAAACATTTTTTTCTAAAATGTTTAGTTTTTTTGTAAATGAAAGAAACTGTTTTTTTACGACCTTTAGGCGCCATTTTGAAAATGAAGCCCAAAGATTCAGGTGAGGTAAAGTAGTTCATTGAATTCTACAGAATTTTTCATAATTTTTACATATTTTCAATTACTGAACTATTTTTTGCCACCTGAAAAAGTAATTTGATTGGACTATCAGGGTTGCAGCAAGTTGCGTTAAATCACCATATTTTGGCTCCCCCTACATGTTCCTGTTCTGTTCTTATGCGAAACATCCTGTATATATTTTTGTTGTTTTCTAGGTACCACGTAACTAATAATAACTTTTGGTGCAGAGTTTTCATCTGCCGGAACAATGACGGACACTTACAAAAAAAGCAAAGGAAACGCCGGCCTCGACGGTGTCCAATTCCAACTGAATCTACTGACTGTGGTTTTGCTGAATGCTCTTCGCAACCGGAAGAACTGGAAGATCTCCACGGAGAACCAGCAGGCCGGAAAGTTCGACGACCTCGTGCTCGAACTGGAAGACAAATGCGTTTTGCTGCAAGCGAAGTTCAAACAGAGCAAGAAAATCAATAAAGACCAAATCTTTTCCTGCAACTCTAAGACCTCCGACTTCAGTCTCCCCAAATACTTTTTCTCGTACCTTGAGGTTAAGTCTGAGTCCGTGGAGAAGACTGTCATCGTTTGCACCAACACAAATATCGACGAGAAAGGCCTGAAGGGTTTTTTGACCCGTCGCATTACCGGACCCGACAGCACGCTACACTACGAAGGAGCCCCATGCCAGTTTTTTACGTTTAATGAGAACATCCTGCCTGATTTAAAAACCAGCGTGGAGATTTACCTCGATAAGAATTTACAAGGCAAGGGATTTGAAAAAGAAGCGGTGACGGAGGAAAACATGAAGGACTTCTTGGATCATTTACAATTTTTCTCAAGTTACCCGAACAGGGATAAATTAGACAAAATTATTGAACAATTATTATTCCGCCTGAACAATTCCAGTTTATATCGTAGGGTGTCCTCCCAAGAGTTGTATAAGAAGGTAGAAGATTGGTTCAAACAGCCAAAGGGTGAATATCTAACGGAGGACCGAGCTAGAGCCATGTTCAGCGAGATAAAAAGCGACAAGTACCGCGAAGAATTGAATAACTACAACGTGTCGTTTAAGCATAACAACGTTGACTTTGCGGATCCGAAGAGAATTTTCCAAATCAATTCGGAAGGAGGACGTTTGTTGCGAGCGTTGAAAGTTTGTGGTGTTCTAGAAAGCGAGGGAAGCAAGCAACTGTACGTAAATCCGGACGGTGAAGTAGACGAACAGAAATGCGTCGTAGAGGCATTTGGACTTCCCCGCTACACCTTTTTGATAATAGTTGGGATCAAAATCACCGAGGAAACCGCGATAAGGGAATTAAGTAACAAATTAAAGGATGTATTGGAGAAATATAGTTTTAAAAAAGTTATTTTCGTGGACGATTCTAGCGATGGACTGGGCCAACAAATTGGACTGAATATTTCACACGTCGATGGTTACGTGTCGTTCAAGGATCTCTCAGATGAGTGCCAGGACAGGTTAGTAAAAGACCAACGTATAGTTTTCCAAGGGAAGCAGGTCAGCTTAGAAGAGTTATTAGCAACGCAGGCTCGTGAAGTTTGGGCGAGGGCTATAAATTCCGAAATCCTAGAAAAGCTGATCAGAAAGAAAGAAATCAAAGTGGGTGAACGACCTTTTGACCTAAACGAACGCAACTCGCAGTACTATATATCTCGTACCTTTAAAAGGCAGCAAGAAACATGTCGAGAGGTGACAATCTCTTTAAATCTAGATGAAGAGAGCTGTAATAACGAAGAAGTTTATTCAGAAGAGGACATTTATGATATGGTCGAAGACGTGATACTTATCTCGGACGTTGCGGGAACTGGAAAGAGCACCGTCCTTACTAACCTAGCAGCGACTATAAAAGACAAAAATCCTCACTTGTGGGTGATCAAAATCGAACTCGCCGAATATACCACCATCTTAAGAGACTCGTTAAACAATAGAGAGGGATCTATAAGCGCAATGAAACTATTAAATTCTAAAAAGGCGACAGAACTGACGAACCATTTAGAAAGGTTTGTGTTCTCTATGAACAAAAAGGTCGTGTTGATGCTCGACGGTATCGACGAGATCAGTCCTGATTACACTGAGCTCGTTCTCGACTTACTGGCGCAGTGCCGACAAGCAGCCAACTTTGACAAACTCTTCGTTGCGACAAGGCCTCACATGATTCTAAAATTGGAAGAAGTTTTGAGGGTGAAGCCGTTCGTGTTGCAACCGTTCACCGAACAGAACCAGGTGGACTTTCTCGCTAGTTATTGGATGCACAATCTCGGCACGGACGGTGAGGATGAAAGAAAGTACGAGCGGTACGCCAGGGCGCTAGTAAACAGAATGACATCTTGGACAAAAGGGTATGGCGACAAGGAAGACGACTTTACGGCGATCCCTCTGCAGTTGAGAATGCTAGCGGAGATCTTCCAAGAAGACACGAAATCGGAAGAATTAGTCTGGCAAGGATGCAAAGAGTACTTAAAGGATACTAGAACAGAACTGAAATTGCCAGAGAAAATGGTAATTAAGGAATTGTACGATACGTTTATAGAGAAAAAAAGGAACATCTACGTATACAAAGGAAATCCGTGTGGGAACGCAGCGGCGAACGGGGCGCTGAATAAACAGTTTGACGAAATGCTTGTTCATCACAGAATACTCGCTTTAGATGTGATCTTGTACGAGGAACATCGCCGGCTTTTTTCGTGTTATCAAGAAGGTTGTGAAGATAGAAACGAAAGCATGCTAAAGATAGGAATCGTGCAGAAGTCAAACGGTAAAATCCACTTCATTCACAGGACTTTCGCGGAATATTTCGTGGCTAAAAGTCTAGTCAGCGAATTGCTACTTCAGTTACGAAATCCAAACGTAAAATTTCAAGAGTTATTCGTCAAAATCCTGCAGTGCTCCGAATTTCTAACCGTACACGTTTTTCTGAACAATTTCCTAAAGGAGGTCCTAGATTCCATACCGTCTAATGTTTTCGAGAAATATTACTCCTACACGTGTCACAAGAACAGGAGTAACCATAAATTTGTTCATTTACTGGCGCAGGAGGGTTATACAGTCATTTTGCAATTCATCCTCAAATGCGTGGATTTCAAAATTATCAGAGACAAAGAAATCGACATCCCCGACGTGCTAGGTCGCATTTCCTTAAAAAAGAAAAACGTTTTCCAGTACCTCGCGGGGAAAATCGGTATCAACAGACAAAATAAGAATGAAAATTTACTCGTGTTTATACAAACTATCGTGCAGGAGGGCGGGATCAACATCAGGGACCTGTTTGGTCGGACACCGCTGCACTACGCAGCTAACAGAGGCCACTTCGAAACCATCGACTTTCTTGCCGAGCAAGGAGCAAGAATCGACAGTGCAGACAAAAACGGACAAATCCCGCTGCATTTCGCTGCCTTGAACGGTCACTTGGATGCGGTGAAGTTGCTTCACGGACTGGGCCAAGATGTCAATACCGGAGACGGTAATGGTCTCACGGCACTGCATTTAGCTGCACGGAATGGTCACTTGAAAACAGTTAAGTTCCTTCTGGAACAGGGCGCAGATTTCAATGCCGGGGATTTTCACGGTAGAACACCACTGCATTTTGCTGCCTCGTATGGTCACTTGGACTCGGTCAAGTTCCTCCTCGAGCGGGGTGCCGATTTCAATTTTGGAGACAATTACGGACGAACGGCATTGCAGTTTTCCGCTTGGAAAGGTCACTTGGATACTGTCAAGTTCCTTATTGAATTGGGTGCAGATTTTGTTGCCGGAGATAATGACGGCCTGACCGCACTGCACTTAGCTGCATCGAACGGTCACTTAGACACAGTCCAGTGCCTTCTCGAACTTGCCTCGAGTCTCTCGAAAACCTGTGGCGATGTCAATGTAAAAGATGTGAACGGTCGTATGCCACTGCATTTTGCTGCCTCGAACGGTCACTTGGAGACGGTCAAATTTCTTCTTCAGCTAGATGCCGATTTCGGTATTGGAGATGGAGATGGCAACATGGCACAGCAGCTCGCTCTTGCTAAGGGTCACCTCCAAATTGTCGACTACTTTGAGGATAGGAATAAGAAGGAAATGTAGAGAGGTGATGAAAAAATGGGTCAGTCATGAAGCCCTTATGCTCACCCTGACCATTTAACAATTACTTCTTTCAACCCGACGTCCAACTCAACAAAGTCCACTACTTTGAGTGTAGTAATAAGAAAGAGAATTGCCGAGTACTTTGATAGTAGGTATAAGAGAGGTGACGTAAAAGTGGATAACTACCGAAATTCTTATGCAAAGCTTTACCATTTACCTACTATTTTATTTACTGTAAGGTGCTTTTTGACTTTGACTTTTCAACCCGACATAAAATTCAATAAAGAAGCAAATCTCTGACGTAACATGTTTTCGAAACTTCAGAGATGATGGAAATATAATAGTAATCCATAATTTTGATAAAGCTGTTCAAAAATGGATTCGTTCACAAGTTATTGCCATGCTCGCTGTTAAAAGAGAGTATTTTTCACTGATTATTTCCTTGGGATCTACGCTTTGGTCAAAACCCTAATATCTAATAAAGATACACTTATAGAAATCGTCTATGTATTTTTGAAAGAATAAAGATTATTATTGTTATCGTTATTATTCTATTGGATATTAAATTTAAATTTTTTTTTGTCCGACCGTTTACTTCAGATTTTAACGGCTCTAAATATAATGGTGACATCTATAGGTTGTTGGCTGAAGTAGGACTCGGGTGATATAAGTTTTCTATTTCTTTAAACTTATTGCCATCTGGTGCGAAAATGGTGTACTACGTAGTTAAAATACAAGTGACCTGTTCGAAACGAAACAATTGAACTTCACAGGTAAGTTCGTTTGATCTTTCAATTCAACCGTTGTTTTTAGAAGATAAGTTAAACAACCTTGGATAGTTCTCTTCAGTGAAGTCCAGATGGCAGTGCTGATGAAGTGTGTTTATTCATAAATAAATGTAAATATCTACCTGGTTTTACGGTAGAACATTGTATAATCATTGTTTTCTTCTAAAAACAATGCTCTAACGTAAAAGCATATAGATATTTATGAATAAATACACTTCCGTAGCACTGCCATCTCGATTTAATTGAAGATAACTTACCAAGGTTGTTTAACTTGTCTTCTAAAAACAATGATTCAACTAAGAGAGATACTAATCCCTCCCGCTTATGACTTTTTGTTTGTGCACTTGACACAAACGCACGCACTCATCTCATAACAAAACACTGTAGATCTGTCGCAACACATCTCTAACATTCTGTTCTTTTAACCTGCAATTTACATACGTTGGTGTTTTTGTTTTGTTGCTAAATCAGAGTATAATGTATTTGCGCATTTGCTAGTGTTCGCTGTTCTCTTAGTTTATCGCCACTAATATCAAATTGTAATCTCGAAAGCGAAGAACAGAGCATCTCAACAGAAAGCCTTTTGTCTCAGGTATTTATTGATATTTACTACTAATGGCATTTATTAACTTGCTACTTTAATCACTGTCCCATACCATAAGCAAGGTCAAAAAGCATAATTATAATTTATAGTAAGAATACAGGATGTGCGGGTGATTACATTTCTAATCAAGTCAGCCTCATTACACTTTTATTTCCTTTGTTTTTATTTCATGTTTCAAGACAATCTCATTTTTTAAGATATTTCAAACAGTTTTTGGTTTTGAAACTTCATGTCATTAATTTTTTAAAGAAATAGAAAACTATTTTTAGAGATTAAGAGGCTTGCATATCAGTAGGCGCCATTGGCGTAGCTAGAATTTTTGCTTGGGGTGGTCCAAGGATTGCAAGCTCTATGGAGCCTCTAAAAAAAAGCTTTCGCAATCAGCAACTTGCCGAATAAAATTTCAAAAACCTGAACACGTTTTGATTTCATTCTAAAAAAAGTCACGCAGTCAGCGACTTACCGATATGCCGATATGATAGACGATAATATTAGATCTTTTTTCTGGGGCGGGCCGTACACACACACCTGCTCCCGCTTAGCCACGCATATGATTATAATCAATTAAGATCAAACGTAAAAAGTATTAATTCCATAAAATCTAATTCATATGAATTTAAATGTTTTATAGCCAATATACTATGTTTATACAGGAGGTTTTGGTTTATGTTTCGATTATTCATTCATAGCATTTTTTAAATGTTGATATTTGAAAAAACATTTTAAAATATTTCCGATTTTGATGAAATTATATTTAACGATTTGTCTGATTAAAATTAAACATTTACTAAAGTTGATTATAAAATCACTGCTTGTAACTCGTTGTGTTGATTCTAAGAAAAGAAATCCTATTTTATTCTAAAAACGGACCATTTTTGACTTATTTTTGCTTTTTCAACTTATATTACATTAGTCAGCTACCAAGCACCGGAGGTTTTCCCCTGAGTTTTTCCGGACTCTTTCCCCGGAGTTTTCTCCTGGAGTGTTTCCCGGACTTTTCCCTGAATTTTTCCCGAATTTTTAAACTAAAACACGCGTTTTTTATGACTTCTTATACGGTCTAAAGATAGCCGTTTCTATAGAAAGTTGAAGTATATAGTTGAAGGTCCTATACTTAGCGTGTTATAAAATCATTGCTGTCAATGCAAAGAAAAATATTCTAATTAGATTGAGATACTTGCATAAAATCGTGTTTAAAATACTTGAAAAAAATTAAATACTTCTTTTTTAATGTTCGTACCTTTTCAAAGACCCACCTTGTATAACTAGGTATCAAGTACGCAGAAAAATTTATTTTAAACATTTTGGGATATAAAAAATATAGCCTACGTTACTCAGGGATAATGTAGCATTCTAATGGTGAAAGAATTATCGAAATCCGTCCAGTAGTTTTTGAGTTGATT